TTTTTGAATCACAATTATTTTTTCTTTTTTGTGATATTTTATTCTTTATTCTTTTTTGTTTCTTTTTTCAAAGTCAATGGTTGACCGGTCAACTACGACCAGTCCAAATCGATAGATCGACCCAAATTGATCAAGCAATAAGAAACCTGCGAGATGCGATCGAGTGATCTTCTACATGTGCCGATCAAAGGTCGTCGCGTGCGTGAGTGCCGGTAGCGGCAACCATCGCTTACAACACTGATTAGGAGCTCCCGCGGCGACTATACCTCGCTTCACGTGAGGGAGAAGGATCTCTCGCGTTAAGCATGTACAGTAACGGGCCGGCCTTCTCGCGGATATCTCATGCGATTTCCTGGTTGCTTCCTAGCATTGTTGCCAGTGTGTGATAAATAAGCAGGGCGTGACCTACTAGGAGGAAAAGAGCCTGTTTTTACACTGTATTTTTTTCCTTTTTTCAGCCGTTTCTTCGTTTCTTTCTCTGTATTTACTGTTTCTTTCCTTTTCCTCATTTTACTCCGGGCCAAACTCGCCGATCTGTATTTATTGCCCATCTGTCATAAACTCACTTAACATGATCCAATCCGCCGATCAGTGGTTTTTGCAAACCATTACACAAGATGTGGTGTTTTCTGCAGAGAAAATGTATCCTAGTGTTTTTCGTAAACCTAGTCTTCAAAGTGGTGTTTTTTTTTTTGCAATTTACTTCATAATTCCACTACTTATATTTCTCTCAACATGCACATATCCCACCTCACCACACATGCACCTCATCAAATCCACTATTTATATTTCCCTCAAAGTGTTAATGAGAAATCCTAGTTATATTATGTGAAATAACTCAACAATATAATAATCAAATAAAATAAATCATATGTATATTCTGATTTCCTCATATTATAATATCAGACAATGAGATTTTTATCGAAATATAATGCAATCAATTCCCGCAGCAACGCGTGGGGTATCGTCTAGTATTCTAAAAAAAGGCAGTGTAAAGTGGTGTGTTATTTTGGCAAAGCAAAAAATGTATGGGTGTGTTTAGAGCACATCTAGATGTGCCCTAGTTATTGCACATCTAAGTGAGTGAATCAAGCATAAAGAGGAAAAGAAAAAAAGAAAAAGAAAATATCCACGCGAATCTCGATGTAAGATCACTGACATAGAACTTAGATGTGCAATACTTATGGCACATCTAGATGTGCTTTAGTAAAACTGAAAATGTATTGGCAAAGGAAAACAATGTTTGGCAAAGGAATAGAAGGCAGCACACCTCGTGGCAGTGTTGTGTTATTTTGGCAAAGGAAAAATGCTTTTCTTATGAAGCAAACGTGGAGGAGAGCTATGTTATTTTGTCAAAATCCTCAAAAAAGTATAGAAAACGGCTATTTGGCTAAGTGGCAATCATCAGTGTGTTATCTTGGTGAAGGAAAAGAAATGTGTGCTTGTGAAGCAAAGGTAGAGGAAAGTTGTGTTATTTTGTCAAAATCCTAGAACAAAATAGAAAAAAGATAGAAAAAAGAGATTATAGTGTCAATCCAGTGTGCGTTATTTTGGCAAAGGTAGGAAGAAATATATGCTTACGCAACAAAGGCAGAGAAACGGCAGCGAAAATCCCTCAATATCTGACGGCACGCACACACAATGACACAATCCATACATATATGTGCCCTCCTCGTCTTCTTTAAATCGTGCCACTGCGCGTTGTCTAGTCTCATCACATTCACAATCTCCTAGCACAACCCAGGTTACCCAGCACAACATGGCAGCCATGACAATCACCACCTCGAGCTTCCTCAAGACCCCATTCCCCGGCGTTTGCACTCCGGCAGCCACTCGCACCCCCTCCCGTGCCGCCACCCGGCGCACCGGGGCCGTCTGCAACTCCATCTCCTCCTCCACCCCTCCCTATGATCTCAGTTCCTTCAAGTTCAGCCCCATGAAAGAATCCGTCGCCTCCCGCGAGATGATCCGTCGGCACATGACCGACATGATCGCCGACGTCAACACCGATGTCATCATCATCGGAACTGGCAGCGCGGGGCTGTCCTGAGCCTACGAGCTCTCCAAGGACCCGTCCGTCAGCATCGCCATCATCGAGCGGTCTGTCTGCCCCGGCGGCAGCGGCTGGCTCGGCAGCCAGCTCTTCTCCGCCATGGTTGTGCGCAAGCCGGCGCACCTCTTCCTCGACGAGCTCAACATCGAGTACGACGAGCAGGAGGACTACGTGGTCATCAAGCATGCCGCGCTCTTCACCTCCACCGTGCTGAGCCGCCTCCTCGCACGGCCCAACGTGAAGCTCTTCAACGGCGTTGTCGTGGAAGACCTGCTCGTCAAAGAGCACCGCGTCGCCGGCGTGGTCACCAACTGGGCGCTCGGGTCGACGAACCAGGTCCAGGACACACACTCACAGGCACAATCCCACATGGACGCCAACGTCATGGAAGCCAAGATCGTCGTAAGCTCATGTGGCCACGAGGGGCTGTTCAGTGCCAACGGGAAGGGAGTCAAACGGCTCGAGGACATGGGAATGATCAAGACGGTGCCCGGAATGGAGGCGCTTGACACCAACATGTCCGAGGATGCGATTGTCCGCTTAACCCGCGAGGTCGTCCCCGGCATGATCGTCGCCAGTGTTGAGGTCGCCGAGATCGACGGGCCCCAGAGGATGGTGAGAAATATACTGCGTTTTTTCACAGGAGTTCTTGGAATCATTCTCATTTCTCTCACCGCCGTTTTGGTGTGTCTTGTCTTGTGGTGGTTGCAGTGCCCAACGTTCGGCGCCACGATTATCTCCGGCCAGAAGGCAGCGCACCTGGCACTCAGGGCGCTCGGCCGTCCGAACGGCATCGACCCGGAGACGGCCCGAGCGTGAGGACCAGCGGCGACACCGTGGACGCCTGGACGACGGAGGTGACACCAAAGCGTACGCTGGTGTTTGATGAAACAGAGGAGACGTTGGACAAAGACTTTATATATGTCATCTGTCTACTTGTGTTTAATCCTCTGTTCATCTCTACTAGTAGCAGCAGGCGTCGTGTTTATAGCACTGCCGCGGTTTGCCCTTCCGCGTGATGGCAACTCCATGGATCCTTCTGGAACAAGATGACAGAATAAAATGGTTGGGCTTCCTATACATGTGTGCGCGCGCGTTGAATTTCCAGTTCTTTATTGGTGTATGCGCACGCTATTTAGGACATGTACAATGGTTGATAAAATAGTTTTATCTTAAATTTTACATGTAATTTCGAAATTCAAAAAACATATATATAATGGGTCATTTTTTAACCTTATCTTTATAAACTTTTCTTATGATTTCTCTCTCCCCCGCCTCATCATTTATCATATGTGGCATTCCTAAGATAGAATCATTGTACATGCCCTTACTCCATGGATAAAGCCTCTGACAAGCGGTAGTTTTTTTTCCCGAGAAATTTTCAGTCTATTCATCTTCCCGACAAGCGGCAGTTTTTTTTTGAGGAATGCCATCATGGCTCACTTTATTGCTTTCAAATAGTTGTTACATCATCCACAAGCAAAGAAATGATAAAACTAGGATGTTCATCAACTCAAACATTGTGATTGTGATTAGCCTCCCTTTAGCTAGGCTATGAGCAACAAAATTGGCATCCCTATTATAGAATGAATACTCAACTCTACTAAAAGTAGTGGCCTGTATACAAATATCCTCATAGAAGCAATCAGACTGAATCGGCAGTTGATCTTGCGCAACGCCCTCCCTCCGTTCCGGTACACAAGACCTTTTAACCTTGATCGTAATTTTTTCACGCAAGATTTAGTTGTTCATTCATATGCCATAACAAAGAAGTTCCTAGCGATTTTTGCTGCATGATTAATATTCTGTTGATCAAAATTAGACTCAACATGTGAGAGGTTTTTGTAAATTAAAATCGATGAAAGTACCAAAATTTGAGTGCCAAGCATAGCATCTCTAGCAAATCCCGCAAATCAGCCTGTCCGATAAAATAACTGTGGTTTTATTGAAATGAGACAGAAAATCGTCACGCGCAAGTCCTGTAAAACGGCCTGTCCCGAAAATAATTTTTGGTGGGGCGGAGTATTCCCAATTTGCAGTATCCTCTATCACTTGCGTGACTTGGTGGGAGGCACATTTTCGCCCGCTTTCTTGCGCACTGTGCCATCACCTCGCCGCGCCTCCAATCAGCGGCATATGGAGTACCCGCAGCCATCGGCCGTCGGATTTGGAGTAACGACTGTTTACGGATCTGGGCCGGATATTCCCTTTGTGGAACCAGTAGGTTTCGTTTCTAGTAGTGTATCAAATACAAGAATGAGGCCCAAACATAGATCGGACCCATTCCATTTCATTTGGTGTCACATAACAAACACACCCTCTTGTCTCAAAAAAAAAGCACACCCTCTTCTAAAAAAATAAATCAAACACACCCTACATCCTGAGTTTCTCTGTACCCATCTTTCGAAAAAAAAACTTTATTACGTAGTTCATATTTTGTTTTTACGTTTTTTTGGGATAACTATTTTGTTTTTGCGTACGTACTAGTTTCCGCTTCAATGACGATTAGCTAAGGCCTTGTACAATGGGAGGTGCTTAGACAGATGCTTAGAAAAATAAACCGGATTTTTTCTGAAGCACCGGTACTTATTTGTACAGGATAGACGCTTAACTAAGCGTCTCTCCTGCAGAAATAGGCACCGGTGCTTAAGAAAAGCCTGGTTTATTTCTCTAAACACCTCCCATAAGCATCTTTCATTGTACAAGGTCTAACATCACGGGGATGTTACAATCAGATGAACTAGTGTCTTTTTAGAAAAAAGAAAACTTTTCCGTGAGAATATTATTTCTGTTTAGCGCTAGGATCATGGGGGTGGAACGGGGCCGGAAAAATCGTCGCCAGTTGAACAGGTTTGATCGATCCATCCTTCGCCCGAATGGATGGACGCATCTCACTGCATCAGCAAAAACACCCTCGGTTCATCTCGATACCACCCAGCCGATCGAGATGCGGTCGCCGCGTACAAGACGCCGCAGACTCCGTCGCCCTGCGGCAGCCGCCTTGCCGTACTGCAGGAAGGGTCACAGGAAGAAGAAAGATCGTCGTCGACGCGAAGGCAGCGGCGGCATGACGGCGTCTCTCTCAGACGACTCGCTGGCCAGCATCTTCACCCGGCTGCCGGACGCGGCGGCCGTGATCCGCTGCGCCGCCACGTGCCGGCGTTGGGCCCGCGTCGTGGCCACGAGGGCCGCCATCATCTCCCGCTCCCTGCAGCCTCTGGGCCGCTTCCTGCCGGACCTCGCCGTCGGCGTCTTCCACCAGGAGAAAGACTGGCCCACCGCCCGCGGCCGTGACACCGTGCCGTCGCGCCCCTGCTTTGTCGCGAGGGCTCGCTTCCTCGGCGTCGGTGGTGGTCGGCAGCTTTGGGGACTAGATGACGACGGCGGGCTCTTGGATTACTCCCGCCCGGTCGCGTCCCGGAACGGGCGCCTCGTCCTCGAGCTCCGGCGTGAGGGCCGCGCCGTCGACGGCCTCAGGCTGGCTGTCTACAACCCCATGACGAGTGACAATAACATCGTCATCGTCCCACCTCTCATCGTCTCAGCAGCACCAGGTGGCAAGAACAGCACGACGACGACACGCGACTACGGCTGCGCATTGCTCACCGGCCACGACCTGCGCCCACCGCGCTGCCAGAGCTTCTTCCGTCTGCTGCTGATATACAACCGCAGACGCCGCCGCAGGGACTCCACCGTGCTTCGGTGCTACTCCTCGCACACCGGTCGCTGGGGACCAGAGGCCGAATCCGACGTCAGGATCCACGCCTCCAGGCTGCGCTGCATCGGCCAAGCGGTGGTGCGGCGTGGAGTGGCCTTCTGGGCTCTGGATCACGGCGTGCTCGGCGTGCGCCTCGATCATCATACTGATCAGGATGGAGCCGTGACGGATATGCACTTGTTGCCTTACAACATAAATCAGCACTGGCCAGAGAATAGGTTGCTGGGCGTCTCGGCGGACAATAGACTCTTCATGATGCACGTTGGGGTCAGAAATGGGCAGAACAAGATCCTGATAGCGAGTTTTTCATACTTCGAGTTTCCCGAGGAAGACGACATTCGCACCGGTAGAAGAGAAACCGTACGGGAGGACGCATTCGTGCTGATGCACCAGATGAAGATGGAACACCATCACACCGGCATCAAGCTGCGGTGGTTCGGCGACAAGAGTGGGCTCGTCTTGTTCACCATGGGAGCACGGAGCGGGCATGCCGGCACCTTCGTGTTGAACCTCTGGGAGGAATTGGTCTACAAGGTGGCTGATGACGGGGACTCATGGAACAACTTGATCGGGTATGAGATGGACATGGCCGCGTACCTTGCCTCTATAGACCGACATTCCTTTACTTGAAATGAATTTAATTGTACACCGAGAATATGTATGTGCATCTATTATGCACATTGTCTAGACAGGTTAAATATTAATGTTGTATGTAGCTTGTATTAGGACTATTAATTGGTCCCTTGCTTTCTCTTATGCTGGTCACAGTGGAGAGTAAGTTAGACTAGTGTCATGCATATGGCACTAGTCTAAGTTACTACCTTCATAATCAAAATAACATAATAGTAATATCATAGATTGCTTCATTTATTAGCTCGTAGACTTATCTTGTCTTGGTAAGCGTTATGTTACAGTAACATATTATGTTACCATCTCTCATTAATTACTTGCCACATAAGCAAAAAAATTCGAAATGCGCTATGTTACTAGCTAAGTTACTCCCACTATGACTAGCCTTAGACCTCTTGGTCGTCATAGCATTTGCTTTTGTTATCGTAAAACAAGAGAGTAGGCTTAGCGGTATCTATGGTCTCGTAGTTATGCTACAATGCTAAGTTAGCAGAGGGTGTATATGATGATCTTATGACGAAGGTCGTGGCCGATAAGAATGACACATCAATGTTTTTTAATAGGTATAGTCGCCTCAACCAAGCGCAACTCAGTTGTATTGTTAGGAGAAGTGTCGAGCGGGCTTGATCTACCATTTGGGTATTTCTACAAATATGCACACACAAAAACTCCACGCTGCCCTTCAAAAAAAATTAAATGAAAATTTGAACTGTATGCACTTCTACCTTTTTTAACCAATGTTGCCAAAAGTATATCTGAACTTCTTTACAATTCCTAAAAAAATTATGATGGCATGGTAACCCTGAGCATAAAATAATGATAAGCCTGAGTCATGCTTTGACGGTTCCTTCGGACATGCAACACATTACCTCAGGGCAACAGTGCATTGGCATATGTTATAGAAACTCGCCATGGTGTCTATGTTTTCTGAATTCTCTTATGGACAAAGACTAATGTGCGTGTACTCCGCTATATTGGTTGCCGAAATCCAGTGGCACGGCAAAGCACGGTTTCACTTCTAGTACTAGTAAGCATGTACGCTCGACTAATACTATTTGTTTCAAAATTGATCACAATGTGAATCCTTCATTGAACAATCTATTTCAAGATTGAAGCATGAAAGAAACAAAAAGTAATCCGGATAAATTTAATAATATGTTTCTACCTAACCAATTTGAATACTCTCTTTTCTCGAGAAAACAATCTAAATACTATTCTGTATGGCATGAATAAAATTTAGAAAGCAAACTTTCTAATTTTCCATTTATTTAGAAATAAACAAAAAGACATACAGGCATGGGCACAGCAAGGACGCCCACACAAGAGATGGTGGTGCCAAGAAGAGCCATCTCTGAAGCTACTTTTCTATTGAAAATCCCACACACTACCGCGGCATGTTAGCAAGATCACGCTCGGTTCCAGCAGATACGGAATCTGATTAGAACAAAAACTCCCAAGAGCGACCATAATTTAGATGAAGTTCCAAGAAGACCAAGTTTTTGTAGACCGTGGGATTCGATGACAGCCTCCCCCTCTCCATGTTTAAGACAAATGAAGGGAGATTTCTGCGGGAGCAGGACACCAATAAACCATCAACATAGTACATATATTTCTTCCAAGACAAGATAAATGATTAACTACTTGGCTCCTCTGTAGTACCCACTTCATATTACAAAAATAACACCAATAAATTATTTAACTTATAAGAGAAAACAAACAACACATGAAAACAATAAATAGCCGATGAGGAAGTCTCCTAAAAATCATAATATGCTTTCAAATTTTCTTGTCTAAGGCGGTTACAAATTCTGTAGGGATGCCGAGTCGCTTCTCCTCTTGTTTCTCTTCTGTACTCTCCTAGTGCAGCACCATGCAGGATGCGAACCGATTGGTCACGGTTGTATTGCAGTGGAGAGGGTGCCGACAATCTATTTCTCAAATCCGATGGGATAGAGTTTTATAGAAATACAACAATAAGATTCCATGCCATGGCAGGAAGCAGTCAATGTAACAACAATTTCTTGTCGTTCTTTCTAGTTTGGTGGCTGCGAAAAGCATAATATGACCATGACTAAAAGATCTTTCAATAGGAAAATGGAGTAATGAACCATAGAGATATTAAGGAAAGGAACTATGCGACGATGATATACCTCATGAGACCGCAATGCAATATCTAAATGTTTGGTGGAAATTCAGGTTATCTAAGACAATTTTCTCAGCAATGATATAAATGAATGGATTAGATACTTGTTTCCTGAATCTACCTTGCCGACTAAATGAACCTACATTTTTGTAACCTTAAAGGAACATAGAGAAAAGCACAACCACTAACTTAACAGTTGCCCAAGAATATGGAGGGATAAAACGGAATAGAGAATTGGGAATCAACCTAACCGGGAGAAGGTAACAAAAGGGATATGTGGAAGTAGTGGAGACAATGCTAGTCAACACTTGATGCATAAAATAGAACATGATAGAACAACATCCGAATCATGAATGTAATCCAAAATCTATATTTTATAAAGATATGCCCAACTCCTCAATAGTTGATTAAACATTAGGATAAAATGCTAGAAGTCTTTATAAGATATTAAAAGCAGAATGAACCACATCTACCAGAAAAAAAGGCTTTCATATCAACATCTTTGAAAACGCAACCTAATACTCCATGTATAAGTAATCAAACCATTATCATGCAAAAAGCTAAACAAACCCAACAAGGGGATAATATAGATCATCATGAGCGGCCGATGTAGAAGTGTGTATGGCGATGAGCGAATGAGATGTTCCTAGTGGTGCAGGACATGCGAGAGGACCTAAAGGCAGAGCACGTGAAAACAACGACCGACACTATCCTAACCCACCACCAGCTGTACTCCTTAACTCCAGCACCACCAAGCTCCTCCCTGATTTTGGTAATGGAACCATGTATGTAAAGGGATGATACGATAATTAAAAGAAGACGAACTCGATAATTCAAGGCTAAAAAGGGATAGTCTGAAGTCAATAGTTCGTACTTAATTTGTAATACCTTCTAAACTGCATAATCTAAATGGAAACATTAGCTTTTGTTTTGACATACCACTTCGTAACATCTTTCTTGGTCCTGGACCCTTTTCCAAACAATCAAAACAAAAAAAAGATCAGAAATGGATATATACATTTTTATGAAAAAAATAGATAATTATCTGTGTCGCCTTACCAGGTTGGAATCTCATCTCTCACTATCTTAGTACTTCCTCATTCATCTCCATTCTTCAGGGATGCCTCATGCATCTTCAGTCCTAATACACATACTTTTTAGGGCTATCAAATCCAAGAAATTACAGAACTAAGAGATGAACTATTGCGTAAACTAACCAGGCCCGTTAGTCATTGCAAATTGTTAAGTGAAGAATCTCCGAACCAATATACAATAACCACGGGTTCACGGTCTCCTAGAATTCCCTAAAGAAATGGACAGAATCAGGACGAAAACTTGGACCGCTAGTACCTAAATTTTTTGAGATAAAAAACATCTATTATAAAAATACTACTTAACAAAATAAAATCATTGGGAGGAACCGAGACTGTCGGGGCCGCAAATCAATGGAAAAGATGAAGATAGAAAGGCCACCTAGCAGAGAACTACAACTACTGGAGGTGCTATTGCCACAGTAGGGGGAAGTACACAGAAGGACGGGGTAGATCATATATATGTGTGTGAGTGTAGGCAGCAAGTAGTAGGCGATGAACTCCATGGAGGCGTTGCGTGAAAACAAAGAATGGGAAAAAAACAAAAAAGAATCCTGAACCAATAACTTGCATTGAGATTAAGTAATAATAGTACGTAAGAACTCGTAGTCTTATCTGAACTAAACTCGCGTGGTAAGCCGGAAGAAAAAGTATCAGCCATCTTGATCTATACATATCCACCTTTGAGTTCATGCTTCCCGTAGTAGGCAGTAACCATTTGCGAGTTTAGTTATTTTTTTATTTTCTACAGGAAGTGTCCATAGATTAAATAGTAAGCATGCACGTGAAAATTCACGTGCATTGAAAAGATAGTCATGTAATAGCAGTCAAAAACTATTTCAAACGAACGTATACTATGATTAAATTTAAGGAAAACTATAATAAGAAAAATATATGTTGTTAATGTACCTAAGCACGTTTTTTGGCGAAGTCAAGGATGGTCATTCTCATTGTTCCTAGGCTGCTGCTGGCTGTTCTTCAAAATTATGAATGCAAAATATACACATGTTTAATAACATTTTGTCCTTTTAAATCCCATTGATGAAAAAAGCGTATTGGAAAACACAACACTCCTTTGGTTAAATCAATGCATCCAAAAGCATGGATATGCCAGCAGAAAAAAAACACATTGTCATATACTTAATCTCATATGATGTAACCTGAGTACAAAACGACTATGATCTTAAATGACTTGTACATCAGGAGAAGGCAAAGATATATGCCATGTCCAATTGTCCTGAAGCATGAACAAGCTCATTGGGGGAAAAGAAGAAAGATACAACATGCTAATATTACTATTGTGCCATTGGTTCACAGTTTTGTCATGAAGCATATGGTTTGCCTATCAGGACCTATTATCTAGATTTGTGTGTTGCTTACTGGTATTGCCCCGGGTAATATTTGGTGAGCCTTGGTATGTTGAATATGTCCCAATTGTAAATAAAAATAAAGGACCTGCATCTCCAATACTGTGCACACATGTGATCTATCTTGTGCCTCAGTTGCACGAAAGTTCGGTGCCCAACTCCAAAGTACGAACTCACCCCCCTGTTGGAGAATGTAGTAATTTCAAAAAAATTCCTACGCACACGCAAGATCATGGTGATGCATAGCAACGAGAGGGGAGAGTGTGTCCACGTACCCTCATAGACCGAAAGCGGAAGCGTTAGCACAACACGGTTGATGTAGTCATACGTCTTCATGATCCGACCGATCAAGTACCGAACGCACGGCACCTCCGAGTTCAGCACAGGTTCAGCCCGATG